GTAACTATGTGTAGGTTTAGATTACTTCACAAGAGAACTAGTTCCGAAGGGAATCAAAAAGGACGTTGTTTTAAACATTTCCACATAAATGAAAATAAATTGATCACCAAATGTATTGGAATCAGAACAATGCTCAAAAGAAAATGTGTAGCTATAAATGCTCATCACTGAGACAGAAGAACCATCTTAGAGCAGGAACCTAATTTCCTGCCTCCGCACACTGAAGAACAAACTCAATCTTTTGGTTTGCTTGTTTTAACAAGCAAAATTATGATTATTGTTATAATAAACTATAAATACAAGTAATGAAATAAAGTCATGAGAGGACATTTACAAACCAAAATGTTTTTGACGGTTAACAATATTTACAGATTTTTAGCTAGAATTATTATAACAAAACAAGAAAATCTCAAAGACAAATATTACTGAAGAACTGTAAGACGAGCGTTTGCACGAGAAGTTTGTAAGCTGATGAAACAGAAAAAATTCCAGAAAGAAGTGATGTTTTGCTTTATTGTTTTCTCCACAAGCCCTGCCTCTCTTTTCACTTGATCTACCACGTGTCTGTTCGTATCCAACCACGTGAAAGAACTGAACCACCTGCAGGATTTTCCCCTCCTGAAATATTCTCAGTACTTTGGTGGTTTGCAGAATCCACAGCAACTTGGAAAGCCACACAGAAGAGTTAACCCCAGTTAGATGTCTTCCTTGAAAATTGCTCTTAAAGCACAGGTATACCATCTCCCCAGTTAAGCCGACACTCATTGCGTGACTTCTCGTGCTTAAGCTGGTTTTGTTCGAAGAGTTCATCCTCAGATGTCTATTTTCAGTGAATCTGGAGGAATGAGAACCTGTATTCACAAATCATTTTTAATTTTTAGCAGTGTGTCAGTGTGGATTTTTTCAAAGAAGCTTTGATTCTTACTGCACACTGCATTACCCAACCAAGAATGTTTTTCATGATTTAATTTAATCCTCTTTTGAAATTATTTGCATATTCATTGTGGTTATCCTTGAAGGGCATTCCGCCCCCCCACTCCTCACTCCCTCTTGGAGCATTTTAAACATACAGAAAATACAGAACAGAAGGATTTACTCAACGACCACCATCAAGTGTGAAGATTTTTGCCAAAATTTGTTAGAACTGATTTGCAAAGCAAGGAACGAGGAGAGCTGTGTAAAGTCACTCTGGGATCCCGCTGGAGGCTTGTCCTTGTTCAGTTCCCAGCGGAAGCCACTGCTCTGAGACTGAGGAGCACGCTTCAGACTCGCAGGCTCTCACAGGTTCAACATTCCTCACTTCTCCCGCAGTCATCTCACTATAAACATCCTGATGTTTGCCTCTGGAGACAAGGAGATGCTCTGGCTTTCCATGCTACTTTTCAGTTAATCTGAAGTGAAGCATTTAGCAGGTAGACAAGGATGCTTAGATAACTCATGGTGGGTGCTTTATTAGAAAGTGCTTACTGTTCAGAGCTCAATTTTTAGTTTGCCCTAAATCAGGGCCTTCTTTAAGCACTCCTTGCTTTGGCTTGTCTGTGTCACTCCTCTGGAAGCCTGTTGCTTACACATTCAACGTGTTCTGTCAAGGGGCAGTGTGGACTCTGCCTTCACAAATGGCAGATACCATAGTCTTCTCAGTAGCCACAGCTCCACATCATCCTTTCTCATGTTGAAATAATTGGAGAAAAGATAGATTCTCTGCATGGCTTATTTAATGAGCGAGGATTTGTTTGTTCAAATAATAGCAGCTAATATTTGACAGACTGTGGACGGAGCACTTGCCATGTTATAATAATTAGCCAGAACTGGAGATCTCATTTAGGAGAAAAGTCAAATATATAGCAACAATAACAAAAAATGAAATAAGTAAAAATATCGAGACATGAAAATCATGACAAATTCTAGAAAGTTCCGTAAGAGGAAACGAAAGTGTTTAGGAACAAATAGTGAAGAGGCCTTATAAAGGTCAGAGGAACAGTGAACTCCTGGTCTGAAAAGAAAATGTGTGAACTAAGATTTATTTAAATTAAAAAAAAAAGATTTATTTATTTTTAATTGCGAAGTCAGATATACAGAAAGAAGGAAAGACAGAGAAGATCCTCGTCCACTGATTCACCTCCCACAAGCCAGGAGCCAGGAGTTTCTTCTGGGTTTCTCGTGCAGGTGCAGATTCCCAAAGCTTTGGACAGTCCTCGACTGTGTACCCAGGGCACAAGCAGGGAGCTGGGTGAGAAGCGGGGCTGCCGGGATTGAAACCGGCACTCATGTGAGATCCCGGCACTTACAAAGCCAGGACTTTATCCGCTAGGCTACCGCGCCGGGTCCCATAAACTAAGATTTAAAGGCAGAGAAGTAACACGCACAGCTGAAGGAGGAAGGGGCTGTAGCCCATGTGTGTAAGCTTGGAGTTAGTCAGTGATTAGGACTTCAGAGACTGACTCATAATTTCTAAAATACACAGAGTTTGCAACAAACCTGCCAGTTCCTTTACTCAGGAATGTACACCTGAGCCTTGGATCAGAACATTCTAACAGGTATCATAGCACATTTCCACCCTGTTCTCAATTAATATGGGAAACCAAAATAACTAGAAAATATGACAGACTCTGTTCCATAAATCTGTCATAAGATCTGGAAATAACATCTAGCCTTAGAATCTCACCTTTCTCTTGCCTTCATATCTGTTTTTCACTCTTCCTTTACCTTCACTCCCCGCTGTTCCAGTTCTTTTCCGTACGCTCTGGAGAGCAAGGCTACAAATCAAGAGTGCACTTTTCCCTAGCCCTTAATCATTCCCACTCTGATCAACATCATCTAAATTTAAAATTCATTTAGAAATGATTGCACTTTGAGTATAGAACCATGGATATTTGTGTGAGCTCCGTAAAACGTATTTCATCATGACACTGAAACATTGTCTAGTCCATGCTGATGGTTCACAGCTACATGCATTTCTCTTTCTGTTAATCCTTAAAATTTCATCCATGGATCATTTTTCCAGGTTCAGATTGCTGTTAGGAGTTCGTGGTCACTAAGCCAACACAACTATGCATATTTCATGTCTATGTCATATCTCACTACTTAGAACTTTAAGATGATCTGTATCTTCCTCTTTCCCAATTTTTAACACCTCCCTACAGTCACTAGATAAGCTCTTACCCTGCCTTTGAGCATCTTCTGAATATTATCTAAGTCCATCAACACATTTATTTTTTTAACCATCTCTCTTTTCTAAATTTACTAAGCATAACTTTATTTACCTCTTATAAGGTGAAAATTTGCATAACATTTTACTTTCTGTCATCTCAAACATTTAAATCCAACATCTATAACAACTGAATTGCATTCGCTTGGTTATTGAATAAAAGTAAGGACATGGTTGATTTGGTGTCAACAATGGTACATGGGATTCTCTTTCAGAATTGGCTGCATGATTTGTGAGGCTCAATCTGTGATGAAAATAGCGGGCCTTTTGTTCAAAGGTAATCAAGGTTTTCAAAAGCATGAAAACAGAGCACACACTAGATGTGGGACTCCTGTGCAACAGAGAATCCTATGGAGCTAAACTAGCAGCGTGCTTACACCTGAACCTGGGCAGGATTTGGGGAGGCTTAGTTGGCTGCAGAAAGTCACTTTGCACATACATTTACATTCCAAATGGATTATATAACGAAATTTCATAGCATAACTTTAGGAAGACAGCAGTACATGAAATTAATGTAGTTTAAAGTTCTGTAACTGTCTTTGTCACAGGGTATTATGGTGAGTAGAAATATTTAGTTGATGAGACTACTTCTAGCTTCAAGTTTATCTTTTGCTGTGGCTGAACATTTTGTTTTAGCCTGAGAATTCAAATCAGATTGCTTAGGCTCTAAAATCTGGCCTTATCTACTCAACTAAGCTCTGGATCGTTGGGCACTTTTTCCTACATTTCTGTGTAGATCATAGAAACACATAGGAATGAAAACAGAAAATCTGTTACATGGGTTTGCCATGCACATTATTGTATTTCAGTTCCTTTGATTGATATTTGGTATAAAGTAAGCCTTCACATTGTAATCATTACAAAAACCTTCTTATTTTTAAAAATTTTATCTTAGTAGAATTGGTATGCCAGACATAATTTATTCCCTTTGATGTTTGCGAATCTATGTCCAGTATAACATGAAAATATGACATGGTAATATTTTACACATTAAACAGTGGATTAAGCATTCAACTTAGATCATAGAAATTAATCATGTGGCTTTCCTGTCAAGTACAATGAAAGAGTTTTTTTAATTCTCTCTTCAGATTTCCCACAGTAACACTTGGCTTTGTTTAAAAGTAAAAGATCTAACTTACCTGGTTAATAGAGCAATCCAGTTAATGGTGTTGCAGTTAATAAGTTACGTAATATTCAAACCCATTTAAATGCAGTCTTAGCATTTGGGGCTTTCTTAAATACCTTGAAAGAAAAGCTTCTTTGGGAGTAATCCATTGTGATTAATGGAAGTTATTTATTTACATCTGTATCATTGAATAACTAAGATTTTATGTTAATGTGAATTATGTAAGCTTACAACGATGAACATCTTTATGTGCTTTATGGAGAAGATACATTAAGTTATAATCTGTATATTAAATCTGTCATTAAATACTATTTGAACTATATGCCATGGGCGTAAAATTTAAATCTCTAACACATGATAACCGTACTAACCATACTTTATTTTTCACATTGTGATAAATTCCTTGTAAATGAGTTCATTTAATAATGGTTTCAAAAAAACAGTTCATTATGAACAATACATTTTGAAGCAGGATACTCTGATTAGTTAGGGTTTCCAAGAAAGAATGTTAAGTCCTTCTAGGAAAATTATGTTTAGGACTATAAGAACCTCTGAAATAACTGTACCATAAAGCTCTTCTGTGTTGACTGTGAAAAATAAAAAGAAAGCAAAACATAGCTTTCTGACCATGCCATAATCTCAACCCTTATTTATTTCTCATATCAGACAGTATCACCGAAGTCTTCACTAATATCTACGTGACCAGTTTCGGCCCTGTCTCGGATACAGACATGGTGAGTAGTTCATTAACTGTGTTTTAATTTCATATAAGGGGAAATAGGTAAGATCTACTTTTAGTCTTTCAGAATTATGTGGGGTTTTTTTTTGTCTGTGTAGCATACCCACAAAATCAGGGAATTAAGAAGATTAATTTTTTTTGTACTTATACTATACAGTTTTGGTTTCAAGACTAGAGATTTTACTCCTTGTAATTTTTTTTCTTCCATCAAAGCCACTTCTCTGATCTCACAGTCCTTTTCATGTAATGATCTGGTGAAAATTGGAGTTACCACATTGTTGAGAGGTGAAATCCTTCGTTGGAAAAGTGAAAGCAAATACAGGAAAGTTCTTGAATTTCTTCCTAATTAGAATGTAAACATTGAAGTGGACCCTCTGCTCCAGTCACTTCTTGGTCCTAGTCATGTTCTAGAACAGGAAAAATTTCCACTCTCAGGCATAATGCATTCCCATATCCTGACCTTACATGTTACTCTATTTTCATATGTTGATATGAATGGTTAGGGCCTTGAAATATCAGAAACATCATTTAGCACGATTATGTATACAAAACATTAGTTGCCAGAAGTAAATATTCTTAAAGCAAATATTCCTTGTTTTAATACAGTGTATCTTACTAAATATTCCTAAATATTAGAGGTATGATGAAAATGAAAACCAATTTTAAAGAAGAGTTTCATTTTTTAATTAAAACTTTTTGTTTAGTTTTATTTGATAGGAAGGGAAGGGACAGAATACCTCCCATCCATGGTTCATCAAATGCACGCAACATCCAGGCCAGAACCAGGTTAAAAACTGCTGTTTCAGGACTCCATCATGGGTGGCAGCACCAGAAATACTTGAGTCATCATCTACTGTTGCCTCGCAGTGTATGCATTACCAGGAAGCCAGGTCAAAAGTGGAGGTGCCAGGACTTGAACCAGGCATTATGATGCCAGCTTCAGGAATATCAAGAGGCAGTTGAGTGCTATGCCTATTGCCCAACCCTGAACATTTCCTTTTCAAGTAGTAATATGTGGGAAACTCAGAATGTTGTCAAGTGCTGTAGTGAGAAACTAGTTGAACTTTGTAGAAATAATGGTTTTTATGTGGTTACTTCTGCTGTCTTGTTACCACATAGACCAGAAAGGCAAATGACAAGATCCTGAATACCAGTGAATTTTCAACATTACAGATACTTTATATGTTGTGCAACAATTATTGTATAATATTTTGGTGTGATTTTGCTAAGTAAATAATTTTACGTAAAATGTCAAATATATACACCCATAAATATGCAAGCGTGCATATTTCTAACAAGATAAATTTATTTCTTGGGTGTTTCAAACAAGTCCTTGGCAATTTTGTCCAAGAACATGAAGTTATTGTTTTCCAGTAGGATAATGAATTAAACCCATTTTGCATCTTTGGTGCTTTGTTATTCTTTGGTTTGTTAACACATAATTTGAATGTTGGTAGCCAATGTTAGATTTGCAATCATCAACAGTAGCACAAAGTTAAAGTAATCCATATATAAATGGAACAAAAAAGTAACTCTTAAATTCTGGTGAATTGAAATTAAGAACTTTGAAAAAAGTGTTTTTACCCACAAGATATATTTTCCTGCTTGGGCTCTCCTGCAGCATATTATAGTAAAGATTAAAATACATTCACACTTCTTCCTTTATATAGGATTGGCTGTTTGAACTGTAGTGCAATATTATAATAAAAAGATTCAGTTTGAATTTTTAGAATGAATTTTGTTATTTGATTTGTGTGTGTGTGCATGCATATACTTATATATGGCTCATTTTCCAAAATGAATATGTATTCTACATTCCAGTAGTTTCTTGAAGGACCTGAAGACTAGACATTTTCATTAATGATATATTTCCTTTAATATTCTTCACCTGAAATACTTGGATTTTTTTTTTTACCTATGTCAGATTTCATGCTGTATTTCCATGTTTATAAGCATTGTTCAGTTTTACAAATAGTTGTATTTTGGGAAATCTAATTAATCATAACTCTGCCAAATGGGAACTTACTATATCATAATTTGGAATAGAAAATAACAGACTGTAAAATAGTATGAATAAGAAAACTTTTAAAAATCATTAAGTAGTGAGCATAAGCTATATTTTAAAATAGAATAAAAGTAATCTCCAAAAGAGCAGGAAGTCAGAATTAACAAAGGCAGAAGCAGAATCTATTGCTGAGGGTGCACCATCATGAAATCAGAATGAATTGATAGATTGAAATGTGCTCCTTGCCTCTCTGCAAGAGTGTTGTAGCTATAGAAACATCACAAACAAGTGAGGAGCACTGGAGATTTGGAAGGAATAGCTCCACTCTCCGACACTGGAGTGTCTCTGCAACATCCCCTATCAGCCAAGCTCTTTGCGAGCCAACGGGGAGTCTACCTCCTATGTCATGAAGGACTGGGAGGAGGGCGTGTTTGAATTTGAGAAGCAGAGCACTGGGCATTGATTCCATAGCCCTGTGGAGCACAGAGGGGATTTGGAGTGAGGACTAGATTACTTAACAGGTACTTCATGCTATGTGTTCAACTATAGAAGATAAAGATGAAACTGGGGGAAATTAAACATTAAAAAGTAGCTTGTATACTCTTGTAACACAAGCACACGCTAACATACACACACTTACATGGAAGATGGACCTCAATCAGAAAATGCAAATGTACATGAGTGAAGAGAAATGATTTGGTATTCATGATTATCAAATGAGAAATGATTTGGTATTCATGATTATCAAAACGGGCATTTTTTTTAACCTTGGTATTACTTTTACTGCAAAACAGAGAATTAGTGAAGAGAATTTTGAATTCTTTTTTAATACTGATGGCTAGGTCAAGAATGAAACAACGCTGACACTCTAAATAGAGAAAAGTATTGTCATGGTATTACCAGTTACAACTAAAAGTGGACATGGAGACAGCTAATTAATGGCTGACAGAAGTAGATTTTTAAATGGGAAAATAAAGGATGCATTTAATTTCACTTTGAATAAGTTAGCTAATACCTTCTTTCTCTCTGTGCATATCCTCAGTAGAAAAACATGAACCCTTACATCCAGATCATTGAGGTAGATTTGCTGTGACATTAGCCTGAGAGGAAAGAGCAGCATACCAAAAAGAATTAAGAACTCAACAAACGAAAGAACTGGTGTGTACACTTAGACATACACACACACACACACACACACACACAGCTCCCTGAGATTCATTCGCTGGTGTAATTGTCCAAGCAAACTTGCATATCTAAATTGTAATTAAGGATCTTAATTATAGTGATTGTAACTAAGTTAAAATCTTTTATTTCAACATTTTAAAAAATACATGAGTAAGAAAGCAATTAAACTTTACAATGCACTAGTCCCTGACAGCTGACCAAGCTCGAAGCAGGCATATACATTTTAACCATTCTAACTTGTTCTTCTGGCTTTAAGGATTTTGTTGTTATTGTTGTTGTTGTCTCAGGAAACATTCTCATGTGTATGCAGATTCTTTAGCTATACAGGTTTAGCTGTGAATGTTGTATCTGAGCCTACATGAAGAACCTCAGCCTGAATGGTTATCCCTTGCCAAGATCTGTGGTTAAAGTCGGCACAGCGGAAAGATCAAAGTGATCTTGAGATTTCTGATAGGGAATTTACAATTAGGCTCTTCAGAAACAGGTCATTTCTTAAGTGTGTTATAGACTATACTGATTCCATTGATTAATACTTTTCTGCTTCTATAAAAACGCAGAGTACAAACTATCTTAGAATCTTTATAAGTTATTATTGTGTGATTTAGTAGTCAATAACATAGGGAAGTTTACACTGTTATTAAACCTTCATATCTGGTCAAAAATCTAATTCTTATCTTTTGGACTTATACCTTGTCAGAAGTTATCACCTTTGGATGTAGCTAATGAAATCTGGAAAAAAAAGTAGAGTAACACTCCTTGCTTACTTTAAAGTTGGCATGTAGAAATCAGTTACTAGAAGATTTCTGATCTTCTGAATAGTATGGAATTGGACTTGGGCAATACACAGAAATTTGGCAAATATTTTCTAGTGTACATCTAGTTTTTATCAGGATTTTTCTTCAAAGCTGCAGTAATATCACCTGGAGTAGGTAACCTAGTTTCTTTCTGGGCTACATCCCACATTTGTGGACTTCTAGCTGCTTGCTATGACTGTCTGCAGTTCATAGGTTATGGTGAGTGACTTTTTGTTGAGGACTGCAGAAGTTCATCATAGGATTATTGGAGAGTTAGGAATGGCAAAGGGCATATGACAGGTCAGATTTCCTATTATCAAGTATTTTTAATTCGTATGTTGAGAGGACAACTAAAAGCTAGCTTGAAGGTTGTTGTATCCAAGCAAGAGATGATTATGAACTGGGCAAGGTCAGTTGTACTCCAGATTGAAATAAATGAAATTATTTGGCAGACCTCTGTGTGGTAAAATTGATAATAATAGAATTGGTAAGACTTGGTGGCCTATTGAATGCAAAGTTGGAAGAAGCAGCATGGTCCTTGGGGATATGGAAGGAGGTAGTACCATTTTCCAGCGTATGGGAACAGAAGAAAAGCTGTTTTTGCTGTTGTTGTCTTGTTGATTAGCTTTTTCTGAATTGTAAGTCTGTGCAAGTCTTTTGTGGGAGAGTTATGCAAAAAAAAAAAAACACAAACAAACTGTTTTTAGTCAAGAATGTCATATATGACCCACTGGTGTTGTTTCCATCGATTTTCCAGCATGTATCACTGCATCGATATAACTTATATGCACAAGGACATCTCAGAGCCCATGAACAGTGCAGTCCTAAAGCTTTCCCACATCAAGAGAATGTGCACTTAAGGACAGCATAGGAGAGGACTGCAGAAGTATGGAGACAACAATCACACCATATGATAAATCCAAGAAAAATGTTTATAATAATTCCTTTAGATTATGAACAAGGAGGTATTTGCTGACTGTGGTAAATGCAAACAGATTGCAGTGGGTGGAG